AACTGAGTTGAAAAATTAGAGTTCGCGTTACGATTTTGTTGGTCATTTTGGCAAATCCAAAAAAAGTTGGTTAAAATCGTATATTATAAGGCATTTTCGGTCACTGAGGTTATTTTCTCTTATTTTTATTTTTATTTAGAATTGAATATTGATATATATTCATAATCATCGAAGATATATCATTATTAAATTATAGTAACATATTAATGTCAATTTATCAATGAATTATTATTATTGTATATATTTTTATGTTATTATTAATAGTATTTATTATTCTATCACCACCAACAACAACAACAACAAAACCCTATTCACATATGCAATGGGATAAGGGGGAGGTAGGGTAGTAGGCTGCCCCCAATACCAAGTTGAGAACAGCTTCCGTGGAAGACATCCGGCAATTAGAAAAATTAAAAGTAAAGATAGAAATGCCATGCATGTATAAATAAATAAATAGTTGAACAATCTTCATATGCAGTCTACATATGTGCATCTGAAATGTGAAGTAATCCCTGCAAATAAATCCCTGCATAAAAATCTCTGCATATAGACAGAAACGTAAGACCCGACTAATATTTAAAAATAGCAAAACTTGAAGTAAATGATACATAAAATTCAACGATAGCAAGCAACGAGAAGGAATAAAGTCAAATGTGTTAAAACCTAAACTAAAGCAACACTACTCCGCTAGCGTAGTTCTAAGCCTTCATAAATTCCAATGACAGAAACGTATAAAAAGAAGAAGTCATGGAAATTACTACAAATGCATAAAAAGAAGACAGAGATGATATACCCTATGGATGTGATATGTACTACTCAGTTACCCTGATCTTAAGTCTCTATACTTTTCTATCAGAGGTCATGTCCTCAGTATGGGTTAAATCCTTTAAATCAAATCTCAAGCAGTCTTACCCCTTTCGCCTTGGTCGTCATCTCCTTCTGGCACCGTCGATTGTAATCGACTCCACCCTCCTGACCTCATCCGATGGTTGTCGCCTAAGGACATGCTCAAACCACCGTAGTCTTCCCTCCCTCAATTTTTCGGGTATAGGCACCACCCCTAAGGACATCCTAATAGCAGAGTTTGGTGTCATGTCCCACAGAGTCCTACCACATGGCCATCGAAGCATTCTCATTTATGCGGCCTCCATCCTCCTTACGTGATCATTCTTGATTGCCCAACATTCTGATCCATACAATAACGCTGGTCTTATTGCCATTCTATAAAATTTCCCTTAAGTTTTAGAGTCACCTTCTTGTCACACAAAACTCCGGTAGCAGCCCTCCACTTTAGCCATCATGCCTTTATACGGTATGTAACGTCATCATCCACACCCCCATCTTTATGTATCATAGACCCTAGGTACTTGAAACAATCCTTTGAGGGGAGAACGTGTCCTTCTATGCATACTTCTACATCTTCATCGTTTTGGTTCCCACTAAAGTTTGAACATAAATACTCAGTCTTTTCAATATTGATCACTAGACCTTTTTCTTCCAAAGCAGTCTTCCAGATAGCCAGTCTACTATTCAGCCCAGTCCTTGTTTCAGCAACTAGGACAATGTCGTCAGCGAAAAGTATACACCATGGGACACCGTCTAGTGTCGCACAGTAGATGTCGTCCATAATCAAGGCGAAGATGTAAGGGCTAAGAGCCGACCCCTGGTGGAGTCCGATTTCCACCGGGAATGGCGCGGTGTCGCCAACTGTAGTCCTAACGTATGAAGTAATTCTACAGTACATATCACGAATCGCCCGGATATAAGCAGTTGGGATCCGTCTCGTTTCAAAGGTCTTCCAGATCGTATCACGGGGAATGCTATCATACGCCTTCTCAAGGTCAATGATCTCTATTTTTTCCCTATATTTCTCCATAAGCCGTCGAAGAAGATGAATTACCTCCGTAGAAGACCTACTTGGCATAAAGCCAAATTGGTTTTCCGAAACCCTAATAACCTGTCTCAACCAAGCTTCTATCACCCTTTCCCATATCTTCATGGTATGGCTGAGTAGTTTAATACCTCTGTAGTTGCCACAACGTTAGGGATCTCCTTTATTCTTATAGATTAATATCACCGATAATATTATATGCTTGTATGTAATATTTGTTCGAGTGGTTTCTTCAAATTTTTAACTCTCTCCTTATATAATACTTTTTATTTTTAACGTGACCAGTTTGTGCACTTCAATGGTATAAAAAATTTGACTCATGTGACTTTCTTACTCTTATTTTTATAGATTCTTCCTAAATTTTATAGATATTTACTTTTATTTAATAATATCAATAGCGATTAATAATTAAAAAATAAATAGTTATAAAAAATTACAAATATTAACATGCTCCTCTATTATATGTATATATTGAAATTAATAAATTAGATCATGAATGGAGAATAATCAAATTAGGTTAGGTGGAATAAAACATAAGTAATGAATTTTTATTTAATTATAACCATATATAGAAATTAATTAATATGATGATGAACTTTAATTTTTTTTATTTATTCTATAAGATAGGTTGATGAATGAATCTAAATCAAGTTTGGATATAAAATCCATTAAAAGATGATACTTAAACTGAATGAATTAGATTCATTCAGCCAAACTTGATTTAGATTCATTCATCAACCTATCTAAATCAAGTATCATCTTTTCATGAATGAATTTTTATTTTATAGATATAACGTGTCTCTTGAATTTTCCCTTGATTTGGCTGGCTAGGAGTAATACTTAAACTATTTATATATATATATATATATATATATATGAACCAATAAAAGTGTGACCAAAAATGAAAAGATGATACTTCGAGTACCAATTCTGATGAAAAAAATAAGTTTACGAATGAATTAATTTACTGACAAAGCCAAAAACTTTTTTTAAAATCACAATCAAATCCTATCGATGACACTTTTTGAGGGGGGTCACGCACTCTCAACGGGGAAATACGAAGGAAACGAAAAGAAAGAAAAACACAGCCACAAGAGAGAGAGAGAGAGAGAGAGAGAGATGAAAGGAGAGTTCCCCTTACCCCTAATCGTTTTGCTATCAATTGACAGCGATAGAGATTGAAAGAAATTAATGTTACAGTCAACATATTAAAGGTTATTTAAATTTAAGGGTAAATTATACCGTTCTTCACTCACCTTCACTCTCTCTCTTATTTTTCTCATCAAACTTTTAATGTTTCTATTTTGATCATTAAATTTTACAAATTGAATCATTTTGCTCACTCTCCGTTTTTTTTCTGTAACGGCTTGTTTTTATTATTATTATTTAATAAAAAATAATTAAAAATAAAAATAGAAGGTGATTGGATGCCACTGTCGACCGCCGTAGATGGTGGTCGTTTGGTCTCAAAATGGGATGCATCTCTTCTCATCGACGTTGTGAGTTCAAATCCTACATCCATTCTGTCGGAAGTTGCTCCGAAGTCCATGAATTTGAGATTGAAATTGAGGAATCTGAAACGTTTCAGTCCAAATTCACGAGTTTTGTGACATTTTTTGATGAAAAAACCACCGGATCCTGACTCAGAGGATCGAGACAAACCGAACCATCCCATTTCAAGATTGAACGGCAACCATCTAGGGCGGTCGACGCAGAGAAAATGGAGAAGAGAAGGAAAAAGGGTAAATTACACTATGAGTCGTTAAAACATTACTCTATCTCATATATTACTCACCAAAATGACATCGTTTTAGAGTATATTTGAGTTTTTCAAAAAGACATTGTTTTGATTCCTGTGGCACGACATAACGCTGTTAAAAAATTAACCGCAAAACAAGCAAAATGATTCAATCTGTAAAACTCAGTGAGCAAATTAGAAAAATTGAAAGTTCAATGAAGAGAAAGTAAAGTAGAGTGAGGAACCGTAAAATTTACCCTAAATTTAATTAGATTTATATCGATACTTTTGTTAAAAAATTGAATATTTAGATTTGATTTTTTTCGCAATATAATAATTGACAAAGAAATTTTAGTATTTAAAATTTCATTTAACAACCGAGAAAGAAAATTTGGTTATTTTATTCGATTATTTGTTAAAAGAATTTTTTAATTGTTTATAACATATATTATGTGCGATCTCAACTATTTAAATTTTGCTCCTATAAATAGAATAATATTCCTTTTAATTATTAAGATTGCATGTGAATTCATAGAGCAAATATCTTTTTCGATATAACCATTGGTTTCAAATATATTGATTGACTAATTTAAATCAGATACTGTAGAGATTCATTATGAGAACAAATATCTCAAATCATTATTCACAATATCAAAATTCAAACTCTTAATTTTATTTAAAAGATATAGTATCTCGTTCTATTAGGTCAACTAATTCTTGGTATAAAACAAAAGTCTTTAATTATATAAGATAACCAGTTAAACTATGAATCTTAGAATTTACCACCATAATTCATACCAATTAAATATGTCATTTGCACTAATGAAATATTTTGATTATATTTGATTTTATCTTTAATTTATCATCTTATATTTATTCCAAATGTATAAAAAAATTAATGTTTAAAATAATATATATATATATATATATATATATTAAACAGCTAATATATAATTTCTTGCAGCTGTTCCCAGCCATGAATGTTAGGTTGCCGCTTGACTTTAGGGACCTAAATGCAACAGTGTTTGAACTAACTTGCCGGCATGACGCCATTATTAGATTATTTTATTTTATATATTATATTTTATATTGAATTTTTAAAAGATAAATTATATATATATATATATATAAACAATCATATTATATGATAAAAATCTGTTTAATAATTAAATGAGTATCCAGATTAAATCAGACTGGCCTAGAATACAAAAGCCTTGTTTAAGATAAAAACTTAATGAAAATGGGTTCCGTCAACAGGTCTAATCTCAGCCCTCCAATTATTTTGGGATTTCCCTTTGTGAACAGAATAGTTGGAGAAATAATAACTGATAAGCCTAGTTCTAATTTGACCTAGTTAAGGAAATAAATTGAAAGGCAATATATTACTTTGAGCAAAATATTATTAGAGGAAAATGATGCTGGGTTTACAGGGAATTTGCTTCCTCTATCAGCAGCGTCATTTTCACGTGGGTAATAAATTAAAGAAACGAGGAAATGATTAACCCAGAAAAATAGTAATAGTTTCAACCCTCTCGTGTAAATGGCTCAGTTTTCTCCTCTAAATCTTTACCTTTAGTTTCGTTGAACTTGTAATCGAATCGTTAAACCTTCTCGTCCGTCTCGGTGGGCTCGAATAAATTGTCCGGTTTTAGTGATTTGTTGCTTGGAGCTGAATAAGCCCAACGCTCTTTTCCTCCGGGCTTGGAGGAGGCATTGCCATACCAGATCATTCCTGCTACTGCAATGCCCATGCCCAGAATTACATGTAGATTAAGACCTTCTCTCCCGAAGAAAAGAAACCCTAAAATCAGGACAAGAATAGTCTTCATATGGCCAAGCACTTGGAACGATACGGCTGTAAACCGGCTGATGCAGATGAATTGGCTGAGGTTCGTCCCAACCGCAATGGTGCACGATAGGATTATGAAAAACTGCAAGCAGGAATCATCACATTATCGTTTACAGAAATCCTGGTTATCAGCAATCAAGATCTATTAAATTCATTACTGAACTTGTAAAGTAGAGTTTATGACAACCATGGTCCAATTTAAAACCAAGCATGTATCAAAGTGGTAAGCTAATAAAATAAATAAATTCTGCTTGTCGGAGGATTTCGAATATTGTGGAAGAACAGGTCTCACACATTCATTTCCATCAACACAGTGAAGGCAGGAAACTACATATGATTATCATTGATTTCTATTTTAAAGGATACAATTATATCCAAATCTGTCGACTCGGATAAAAACCTTACCATTGATACCATAGTGTAGTTATAGGCATAAACCTTTTTCTCTGTTAACCAATAGTCAACAAAAGGACCAGCTAACAGCAGGCTTGCAGCTTGTACCGGAGCAGTATGTCCCAATAAGTCAAAAGATCCTAAAGAATGCTTGCGTTGAAGAAAATGTACATACTGCAAAATTAATACATAAATAAATAATAACATAAAAGAAGAAAGACCCAAAATCCATGTACAAGACTTGGGCATGGCTGGTGACTCATTTACGGAATGTATCAAATCATGACAAACGCATCATGAAACTTGCTCGGTTCATAAAAATATTGATCATTTAGATTCATTACTATCCAAAACTGTCCAATTTATTGCACTGTAAGCAGGTACTCGTGCAGATTGACTTACATACTGTTGCAGGGCTGTGCTCCAGACTGCTATTACAGCAGCTAAAAAACCCTTGACATTCACACTCACATCCGTAACAGTACAGACAGCAACTCCAAGGAAAACAAGTACAATGCTAAGCTTCGTATCTCTCGAGTAGCGGACCTTGTCAAAAACAACTTCCAGAAAGCAAGATACTGGAATCATGCTCAACTTTGCTATCTGAGAACAAATTTTAAGAACAATATGACATAACTTCCAAAAGATCAAGCATAGAAGAGTTATTAATCCAAGTCACTAAAACTGACCTGATAGAAGCCCACAGAATTCCACATCAAACTCACATTCATTCCAACAATAGAGAAGTTCGCAAATAAAACGAACTTGAGAAGATCAGGTAAAGGTATATAAGAGTCCTGAATATAACCCATCCATCTAAGAACGGTTAACAGGGTTGTAGTGGCGAAGTGCAAACCGGTTAATGTTGTAGCTGCATCACAGTAATAAATGGGACAGAACATCATGTAATCTTTTAAAGTTCTCACTGTAATCATGAATTGAACTTGTCAAAAATTGATGGATTTCTCTTTCCTTTTCCTTTTCTATTCAATGAACGCAACCTCAACAAACGGGAAAATCAAATAATTTATGTTACTTCATAAACTATCACTCTTGCAACTAGGGCTGTAAATGAGACGAGACAGATCGCGAGCTACTCGAGATCGACTCGATCAAGGCTTGATAAATACTCGGATCGAATAGACTCGACTCGAGCTCGACTCGAGTTCTTAATGAGCCGAAATGAGCTACTCGATATTCGACTCGAAAAGCTCGTGAGCAGCTCGAAAATATAATATATTAAGATTTTATTTTAAAAAAAAATAAATTATTAATAATATTAATATTTATGTATTGATTTTTTTTTAAAATACAGTAAGATTTCATGTATTTAAGGTTTATGTTCGAGTTCGAGTTTGAGGCTTCAATCGAGTTAAGTTTAAGAATTTTTTTTTTTATTTCGAGCCTTTTCGAGAAGCTCACGAGCTTCGGTTCATGATTTCGAGTTCGAGTCGAGCTTAAAAATTTTAAGCTCGCGAGTTTTCGAGTCGAGTCGAGCTCCATTTCAGAGTTTTCGAGCCGAGTCGAGCTCTCGTTACACCCCTACTTGCAACTCTGATTCTCCATTTTAAGTTGACCATACAGTGTTGGACCCATAGAGCAACAAGTAATATGGAAACACAATGAGAATAAAGTAATAGATCCATTAAATATGTAACGCAGACACAAAGTTTAGCAAAGTTTGCAGGTAAAATGATCATTTGAAACATACCAAAACTGAAGCCATACGTGGCCATCAAGGCTTTGTTGACCATGATTATTCCCACAGAAGTGACAATATTGAAAAACCATGAGGCCACATCTAGAGCTGTCTTCCTATCAACCTTGCTTACTGATGACATTTTAAACTTGGTCCCCAAGTTGTCAAGCAGAGTCCCCGTTTCTCAGATTTTCACGCAGCAAAAGTTTTGTTCAGATGTCAAAAACCTGCATACCTGTACCAACAAATGATTTGGAAAAGCAATATGTTTTCAACAAGTTTATAATTATTGACAATGGAGAGTTAAAGACACCAACAACCATCCTCTAGCAGTAAGGACAATCGAGAAAGCTTCTTTTTTCATAAGTAACAATGAACTAGCATCCAAAGTTTTCATTTCAGAAATCAGAAAAATAAAAAACAAAAAGCAGGACAATTACAACAAAAACATTTTTCAATACAACCATAGGAAGGTGACAATTTTAAAGGAAAAAGAAAACAATATTTGGAATCCAGTAATTCAAATTTATACTACGAGAATGACTTAAAGAAGCTGGATCTGGGTTTAGGCTGATTCAACTCAATTATTATTAGGACCAAATTTAAGATTTCAAAAATTACTCTCCAAGGATAATAATTCTTAATCCAATCCAATTAAAAAAAATGAACCACAAATGAAATTTTTTGATATGGAGCTATGGAGAACCACATCCAAAAGCTAGTTAGGGTGAGAGATCCTTGGTCCATCTAAAGCAGACAAAAAAGCTCCAAGTCTCACACCTTGCATTTCAGCACATATCCAAATTCTCCAGTTAAATACTTCCAAATTCAAGAATTTTAAGTAGGTCAGAAAATTTTGATACCAAAATCAAAATTTAAGTTCCCCAAACGCAACCAAAGCAATATATACAATATATGGTAAACGGCAGAGCAGCCAAAATTTGGAACTCAAGCAATTTTGATAACAATAACAATATAAAAGAAATGATTAAACAAAGAAACATAACAATTAACAAATTATTTTTCTCTTTTAAAAAAAAAAACCTTTTTCTATTATCTAAAACCGTCTTTTAAAAATCTGTTAACTACCTATCCATTAAAACCTATACAACTAACAAGGAGCGAATTAGGACATCTTCGTTGCGTTTCCTTCATTTAACAAATATTTATTTAATTTGGGCCAGGATTTGCTCATGTTCATTTTAATATAAAAATAGGAAAGGAATTGAAACCTTTCCAGCTACATGTATTTAAATTGCTTGCTAAAAGCTAAGATCTCTAAACTTATAATAAAATTAACACTAAAACGTCAGAAAATGGCTGTATTACTAGCATTCTTTCAGTTTCAAAGAATCCAAATGTAACGCATTTAGCTATATATATATATATAGACTGATCATTTTGTTAAAAAATGGAGAAATACGTTACAATTTATAAGTAGATCCATCGCTCTATAAAGTTTTATTAAAGCAGATTTCATTTCTAAAACAAAAAAAAGGGGAAAAAATCAAGCAGTTTCAATCAAAATATATCAAACAAATAAAAAGTACAGCAAATCAAAGCATAAGTGAAATAAACAAAAAGTCGTTGAACGATCAGAACAACAAAGCAAATTTGCGATATACAAAAAATCGAATCGAAACATTGTTAGAAAAGGAAAAAAAAGGAAGGAGAAGAAGAAATTCCGACGAAATGAACGGAGGCAAAAGGAGACTGTAAACGAACCTGAGAAAATCAGAAGAAAGAAGGAAAGAAGAGAGTCCAATGAAGCCCCCCTCCAGATTTGCACCATAAATAGGCAAAGCTCTCCGCTGTTATATTATTTATACTTTGACTTCAAATGAGTTTTGATTCTTCTCTCGCCATTAAAGAAGAGAAGAAAAGTAAGAGGTTTGTCTTGATTATCTTAATACAAAGTTAAATAATGAAGAAATAAGCCTACGATTATGCAGTTGACATACCCAAGTTTTTAACTCCCTTTTTCAGATTTATATTTATTAAAAGAATTTAAAAATAAAAAATTCGTTTATAAATACATAAATAAAATTCATTGATAGATTATTAATTTACAACTTAAAAGATGATACTATTTTGTAATAAAGCGGATAAATTAAATTATAATATTAATTTATGGTATGATTAATTATCGGAAATTCAAGGGAAAATATGGACTTGGAAGTTAAAAGGCGGACCATAAATGTCCTTTTTTCACTCCATTATTTAATTAAACTATTATGTCATTTTATTTTTCGTTTTTTATTATTGTCAATGTTACTTTTAAAAATTAAAAAAACATTTAAAAAAATCAACTGATCTTTATTCTCATATGTAATAGGGTAAGGGGATGTAAGATAGTAGGCTGGCCCTCAACGCCAGGTTGAGAGCAACTTCCGTGGGAGACTTTCAAATTATAAATTGCCCACCGTGAGACTCGATCCCACGACCACAAGATTAAGAGTCTTGTGCTCTACCAACTGAACTGGACAAACAACTACATTTTTTTCAAAAAGTATTCGATATTATTGAAGAAAACTTTCATTAAATTGAATTTAAGTCATAAACATATTCCATAAAACTGTTTTACCCACCTTCCTCCACTTGAGCCAAGTTGTCATAATTGACAAGTTGTGGGCTAAATAATCAATGTAAAAGTTAAAAGGAATTTTCTTACAAGCCCGTAAACTAAATTTTAAAAACATCACAAGTGAAATAAGAAAATAAATGTACCTTTATAGCATGTAAAAAATTAAAAAGTGAATTAGTTAGATTTTGTTAATCAATTATTATTTATTAAAATTTATAAATGAATTGATCAATTCAATTGCTTTAATAGGAAAATTCTACAGTGTTAGACGAGCACCGTTGAGCACCATTAACGATGAGCATCACTGAACACCATTAATTTATTTTATAAAATTTGCAATTCTAAATTTATTAAATGTTATGTGTGAATATTAACTTTTTTTTAACTCTTGAGATTGCTATTTATTAAAGTAATCTTTTTGAACATTTTAGTTTTTTTTTAACAATAGTCATAATCAGATTGATCATTAATTTTAGAAATTGTGAGTTTCTTTTGTTCTTGTTAACGTTACCTTTATATTTTGTTCTTGAATCCTTTTTTGTCACTATAGCAATTTCTTTGCTTTGAAATAACTTTGACTGAGTAAGCTTCTATTTTAACCCATTGTTATAATAAGTGCTTTACAAGAAGGTTTGTTTGCTTTAACTGTGTTTTAATGTAGAGTTTTAATGGATATATATTGTAGAGTTTTAATGGATATATATGTATGTATTGTACATGCTCTTGAAGCAAGGTGCCATATCAAAACAATAGCTACATGATTTTGAGTATGGTATGGTGTTCAAGGTCCTTGAAGCATGAATCATGCTAAGTGATAACTCCGTAAAAAAATGTTATATTTAAGGTCTTTTCACTTAAGTTATTGATTGTCTAAAAGCTTATATAGGTTCATGTTAGATGCATTTAAATTCATATAGTTGCATTCGGTGGATGTGTTTTGCCTTGACATGTTATCTTGTGAAGGTGTTATGTTAGATGGATTTGTTTGATACGATAATATTATAAAAAATTAAATTAATAATTTTTTAAATATAAATAATAAATTTATCATTTTTTTAATTACGTTCAAATTGGTAGAATATAAATATTTTTGGGACAAAAAATTGTTATATATTAATCCATTTGATTTCATTTTTAACATAAGAGTGACGTGTTTGTAACAATATTTTAGTTCATTGTTTAAACTGTAACTTTTAGAAAACTGTGACATGTTTATAACGAACTAGAAATTCAGTGATATGGGGGTGTATTTTACCCTAAATATTATGTAGCACATCAATACAGACGAAGGTGGGTCCACTAATCCGAAAGGACCAGCCACGTGTAATCCATGTGGCAATATATCCAAACACTCGATCCTCTTCCTATGTCAGTTCTTACCGTTTCGTATATACTCCCTCCATATATTTATTGTTTCTAAAATTCTCCCCCAATAATTATTCCTTTTTTTGGCTTCAATTTTTATTGTGTTTAATCTCTCTGTTTTCTCCTCCTGCTTTCTGATTCTGGGTTTAATTTAGTTCTCGTTTCTCCCCCCCCCCGAAATAGCCATAAAAATTGGATCCACGTCGAAGAAGAGAAAATCCGACGCTACTCGGCTGGACGAGATGGATCGGAGCATGTACAACACCTTCTGTAGCGCTGCTAACTCGCTTTCGCAGCTTTATTCTCAGGCCATGAACCACCAGCGTGTCTCTTTCCAGGCCGGCGAACGTCACGCCCTGGTTAGCTTCTGTTTCTTTGTGTTTCTATTCCAATATATTTATTCCTTTCTTTTTTCCCCTTTATCTTTTATCTCCATATGGTATCTGTTTATTAAGCAGGACGTATTTGTTCTAAATGAACTGCCAATTTGTTATGAATTTCGCAACATAATTGCCTTTTGGAACAGAATTATGTGCAACGGAAAATTCATAAGAAATATGATTGTGTTCTGGAAGAAAAAATTAAATTGGGTTAGTTTTTAATCGCACATTTGCTTTTGAAAATGTTGTAATTTGGTGAGAAGGTGTTAGCTTTGTCCTGGTGTCTCCTAGTTGGATCATATTCCCATACTCCTATCTGAGCCCGTGTTAGAAAATTGGTGTCAAATATAGCGGCGGACGCAAGCGAAAACGTAAAGAAAATAACTAAATTATACGAGAATTTGAAATTTTCAAGAAGGCGACGCTCAGCTAGCTCCCCTCGGGTCCATACCTTGGGAAACTTGATGAGCCAGATTAACATGGGTCAAGCTTAGGCAATTTTGAAGAGGTATTAAGCCCTCAAACAAATTTATGATAGCACTTTGTCTATTTTGAAGCTTCGCGGTGGATCCTTTGAGCTTCTCAAAATGGAGTCATGGTTTATGACGTTCGAATTCGATGACTGTTGGCAAGCAAGCAAGCACCTTTTGTGTCTTTTTGTTTGTATCAGAAAGGAAGACAGTCTTGAATTTTCCTAAACTCTTGATCATGTGTTCTCGCGATAGATATATTTTCTTCTAGTTCTCCACTCCTATTGTGGGTTTTTTTTGGTTAATTTATCTTGAATTTCGCTTGTGGTTGATTCTATCCTTGCTTTTATTACTCTATCGACCCTGTATTCTTGCTCTAAGTTGTCTCTAGTGTCTGTTATGGATGATTTGAGCCTACTTTTTAATTGCTTTTACTCCGCTGATTATGACTGAAATAGTGAAATGCTTCCCTTTGAGAGGTTGAATGTTAAATATTTATGGATGATTTGAGGCTACTTTGTAATTGCTTTTTCTCCGCTGATGATGACTGAAATAGTGAAATGCTTCCCTATGAGAGGTCGAATGTTAAATATTTATGGATATTTCGGTATTATAATTGCGTTTTCATTTGTTCCTGGTTGGCCTTGATTATTGTATCTATTACATAAACCCTTCCTCTTTCTTTACCCTTTCCGCCCACAGGAGAAGCTTTTTCAATGGATTTTGAGGCAGCATGAAGAAGGGACAAGGGTGGCAATAGCTGATATAGTTGCTCATTTGCAGGTATCTTTGGTGATGTCTTGGTCTTATTTGTTTCGATGAATATGTTTGGCGAAGAAGCCTTTAAGGATTTTGTTTATAAATTGTCATTCCTTTTGAATTTCTGTAGAATGAACTTGAATACGGGGAAGAAGAGTCTCCAATGTCCCCCAGGCCTCCATTCCACCAGAACCCTCAAACCACGACACACATGAATGCTCCGAGCGCTCCCCTTTTATCTACCCTGATTTCAGCATCAACAAATGGACAGGGAGATCGTTCTGGGGAATATCGAGGAAAGAACCCGGAATTCTCAAATGCAATTTCGAACCCGATTCAAGGGAGCCTTCAGCACTACCAGTCATTCCACCAGGTTGGTAACCATTCAAACAATGTCGTATCTTCTTCTGCCGATAGACATCAAAACGACAAGATCAATTATAGTCACCAGCAGAATGGGGAAGCCGATTCCTCTATCTTCAGTGATTACATGGACATGCCTATGCATGCTGATAGTCCAGTCTATGAATAACCCTTTCTGAATTCCCCCCTCTAAGTTTTTGTTCAACCCTGGTTTAGTCTAGCAAACTCTAAATTCGCTGCATATGTATTGAAGTTAAATGTTTATATGTATCATTTTATTTTACATTTATTCAAGATAGATATATTCGAATGTTTGACCCATAAATATGCACCAAATTGCATTAAGGTTCTGTCACAAAAAAGACGCCGACGACCCATACTTATCGAAGTATAATATATTGATCGATTAATTCAGATCGGATATTGTAAAAATAATTGTCTCATTCCACTAGACCAACTGGTAGATGTTGGTCTATAAATAATAATTATAATCTTAAATTTGGTCTATAAATAGTAATTATAATCTTAAATTTAACGCTAATAAAAATTCAATATATAAATTGTGATAGAAAATGATTTTTTTTCTTTTACCTTATCCATTGTTCATTTTTTCTGATAATTTTTTCTCTTTATTACTATCACTAGTTAATTACCGTATAATCATCGATTATAATTTTTTTTATCCAAATTAGAAAATATAAACTGTACTCCCGTCAACAATTCTAAGTATGATTGTTAAAGAGGGGAAAAAAAGACTATTGGTAGATATCCCATTATCTTCACGTCGTCTAGCTTCTGATAACATTTTAATACCTGTGCTGGATGCATCTTCAATCATTGGATCGAGGTGGTGTGGTGTGTCTCTTGGAAGCTATGGAATAGGGGAACATAATGGTGATGGTTGTAACGGTAGGCGAGGTGGCGGCGCAAAGGTATAGCATGCGGAAGAGGGTGTTCTTACCGGCGGCCGAGGACGGGGAGGCACCTATGGCGGTGGAGGACGCTATGCATGGCTATGGTGAATCAGATGCACCTATATACGGTGTTCTTATAATACTATAATTTTATTTTGTATTAAGAAATATATTATCAAATAGTACACATATTCTAGTATATGTTTGTTTCTTTATCCATGGCAATATAGAGAATGAATGCAGGTGTTGAGATCAGGAATTCATGCATGGTGAAGCACGACGAGATTATCCAATCTTCATTTAGCAACGAAAATTAAATGTATGTCGAATTACCTCGAAGATGATGCTGAATTAGAGAAATCAACGCATAAAATTATAAGAAATCCAAATGCATGGCAGCTGAAAGGAAAAGCGAAGTCGTAAGCCATTGCCAAGCTGTGCTCAACCAACTTTCTGCTCATTCATCTAAAAATTACCCTTTATTCAGCAACAAAATATACACAGTTTTCCCTAATTCCGCTCTTGGAAGATATTAAATCAATAAAACGACCCGGATTAAGCTAACTGCTGTCATCCAAAACCTAACTAGAAACCTAAAAAAATGATTAAAATCGAGTTTACTAAGCTTCATGATCATGATTTATAACCCAAACCCAGAATAAACCAATGATCAAGAACCTAGTTTCTTGCACAAGCTTATACCTGCAGATTCGATTACCCTAATTAACATTCCTAGAGAGAGAAACCTTCAATACCATGAATTCTTGTCGTTGTTAACCTTAACAGGCTTTGTCTCCTTGTAAATACTCTCGACAGACCGATACCTTCGCTTCTTTCTGGAAATCTCTTCTTTTTCCCCAAAAATCTCTTCTATCTTTGCAGAAGCTATCTCATCTTGACTTTGCTTTTTGATCACCTTTGTTTCACTTCTGATCCCCTTGTTGTTTTCGTTGCTGTTGTCTTCGTCGCCCAGTTGAATGAGCTGTTGAGCCGCCGCAGCCATGTCGGAGTCCAACATCGACTGCCTTTTCGACTTAATCGAAGACTTTGAATCCGACATTGGAGATCAACCCAAGGTTTGATTTTTTCCCTCGGATTTTTTATTCCTTGTCCGCCCAAAGAATTTGAAATTCCTTCTCCGTTGGTGATTACTTTGTGAACGGGGATTTTGGTTTTGTGAATTTGGGCGTAGAGCGCGTTTCAAGGCTACGTGTTGTATGAGGTTGACAAGCAAGAAAAATAAAGAAATTGCAGCGTTGTTGCTGTCAATTACTTTACCCCGCCGGGTTACCCATTTTGTCTCGGTCGGATCCTTAACAATATTTTTTTAAGGAAAAATGTAACTTATGGAGATCAATTTATCATTTTCGTCTTTATCATATTTTCATATCAATTTAATCCTTAAAATTATTTAATTATATCATTCTATATTCTATCTCTAACTTAAAACCCTAAATTATAAGTCTCAAATCATAATCTAATAACCTCTAAACCATAAATCATAAATTATAACTTAAGACTTATAATTTAGGGTTTTAAGTTAGGAGTAAAGTATAGAATGATGTAGTTGAAGAATTTTTAGAGTTATATTGAAACGAAAAATTCGATAAAGATAAAAATGATAAATTGAATCTACTACATAGACAAATATTTTCGTTTCACCTCTTTTGTAGGGTAAGAATATGGTAAAGAAAAAAATAAGTTTTATCTTATAACTTAAATTTTATTTAAAATTTTTTGAATTAAAATATAAAATTTTAGTAGAGTCAAACCAAATATTTTGAATTTTTATTTAAATTTAATTATAGATATTTATGATATTATAGTATTAATTGATTTTATTTTAAGTGATTTTCTATTATCATATATGATGCACAGATATATATTTTTACATGTGATATACATATATCATACAAAATTTAAAAATTAAACTTGAACTTGAAAATAAACAATTAATTATTTAAAAATTTAATTTATTCGAGTTATACTTTATAACTTAAATATTATTTTTTAAAAGATTGAGTTAAATCAAGTTTTGCTCATCATAATTATTCTTAATTCGATTTGATTTAATAATAAAAGAGTAAATTATGATTACATCGCTCAAATTTTCTCTCGCTCCTATTTTAGTCACTAAAATTTAAAGTTATTAATATATATATATATATATATATATATCTTCAATCTAAATATTTCTTACCTCCATATGAACAAGTAGGATATATAAAAAACCATAAAACTACTTAATTTTACTACTTTTGTGTCTAATAATTAATAAACATTCACAATTGCTACTCTCCTATCTAAAGCTGTTTGGTTTTGCTTAAAATGATTGTACTCATTCATTTTCTTCAAGCAATAGGCACCTGCTCTGCCTTGTGGATATGATCGAATACCTTGGTAGGTTTAGCAGATTCTTGACTTATGCTCATACTCGTCTCTCTAAGTTTCTCGGAATCCGCTGCTGGTTCGAGTTTCTTCGGTTGTATTGATTCAGTATTTCCAGGAGCAACACCTGCAGGATCCGGCTTGTAGATTTGCTCGATTCCGATTGAAGGTTCTTCGATTTTTTGATTCGTAATCACATTGACATCTTTTAGTTTCGCAGTATCTGTTGATGCCTCAGGTTCTGATTTTCCTGATTTAATGTTTATAGGAAAACAATCCATCATCTCTGGCTTGTAGAGCTGCTGGATTTCGTATGTGATTTCCTCGATTTTCAGATTCATGATCACGTTGCCCTCTTTCGGTATCTCCGGTACGGATTCGGGTTTGATCATGATATACGGCTTGTAGTTATGCTTGAACGGCTTCACCGGATCTTCGATAACTACATTCGGTGTTGGTCTGGGTTCAGCCGAGCATCCTAGTTCGATCTTTCTGAGAGCAACGGGCACAGTAAAGGGCGTGCACATCCATTCCAAGGGCTTCCTAGGTGCAACCACATTGGACTTACGCTTATTTAGTTTCTCAATCTCGGCAACCATATCTTGTACTGATCTCGCTTCAATGTATTGCACCGACTCGCTGTTTCGGTTGCCGGTTTCCTCGGCACCGGTCATAAGTTCCTTAGTTTCCTCTTTCGTCACCACATTTACTTCTTTCAGCTTCTCAGTGATCGACAATTCTCGAGTCACATGCTCCAACGATGTGTTTCTCGTCAGCCTGGTTGGTGTCTTGGCTTCCATTTTCATTTCCTGAAGAAAAAAAAAGGCAAATCACACGTGTTAGACTAATAGAACAAATTCCATAGTTCTCTAAGATTATCAATAAAAATATTAATAATAAGTATAATGTTGTATTCATCATTCACCATTAAAAGTTATAAAATAATCAATCGATTATAGAATGTTGTTTTTTTTAAATATATCGACTATTAATAATTACAAAATGATCACTCAACTATCATATGTTTCAAACTCGTCCTTTTTCGTTAAAAATTTGACAGTATGAGTTGAACGTTAACATGCTCAATGTGATATGATAAAATCTGATCCTAAAACCTCATACGACTATCATATCACAATCATAATGTTAACGTTCAACTTAGATAACCGTCAACTTTTTAACGAAAAATGAAGAGTTTATAACATAATGAATAATCAAGTGATCATTTTGTGACTTTTAATAGTTGAGAGACTTAAAAAGTTACATTCCACAGTCAGATGACCATTTTATAATTTTTAATAATTGAAAAACTTAATAAAATAATACCTTATAACCGGAGGACAACTTATGTACGTTGCTCTAAATAAAAACTGTTAATTAACTAATATCATGTATGTTATTAATGTGTCATTTTTACGTGTGATTAACTATATATGTATCACATACTATGTCATTATCTTATATCATATCATTGTCTTATCTTAAATGATATAATATATATTATATCATCAGCTTCAATGCTATGATACATATTATGTTAATATATTGAGTATTAAGATACATATCGTATCATCACTTTAAGTAATATAACGTATGACACGTATAAATCAATTAATAATTTTATTTAACGTAAAATATTCTAACCAGAAAAATAAAAGATCGGAATTAAAATGTTCAAAATAATATGAATTGAAATATTCTTTCTAGCAAATTTTAGAATTAATTTTGATATTAGTCAAATTACCTCTTCGAGCAAGTTGCTAAGAGATCGTCGCATGTTGTGATGGGGATTCAGATCGGCTTCGGCTTCCACCTTCTTGTCGGCTTCGGTCGGCGCTTTGGGCTGCCTACAAGAGGGAATGGGAAGCGGCTGCCCATTGCCCTTCAACACCTTAGGCTTTGAAGCACAACATCCCATTTTAATTTTTCCTCTTTTTTCTCTCTCTCTCTTTTATTTTCTGGGATTATAGAAAGCAGACTGTTGTGGAAACCTTTCTTCTTCGATGTTCCTTCGGGGCGAGTGAGAAAAACAATGAATGAATTGAAGAAGGAGGGAAAGAGAAGATTCGGGAGATTTATAGGGAAATTTCAATGTTTTATTTCTTTTTAATTTATGGTTCATTGGATTCCGATAATCGTTCTGCGGTAATCAATCGATGAAAATAAACAAGTTTCGTTATGTATGTTCCCGGGGTTTCGATTAATATTGTTGTGAATTATTATCTTTTGGGTTAAAAACAAAATAAGTTTCCAAACTATACTTAAATTCTCGAATATGTGCATAAATTTTTTTTGTCATGTCTAGGTGCTTAACGTTACAAATATTATTCATTTAGGTGTTTGGGTCATTAACAACGTTAATTTTCCTGTTAAGTGATGTGTTATATATGGTAATTTTAAAAATTTTATTTAAAATTTAAAAATTTAAAATTATATATTAAAAAACATAAACATTTTGAAATAACCCAAAAACTTTGAAAACCTTCATTTCAACCCCTAAACCCACGCCGACTGTAGCTCTTTGCCGTCTACGAAGCTCCACCCGACCTCATCTCTCCCAGTAACCAAAATCCCCATGAAAGCATAATTGATCGATGATGAATCGACGTTTTATATCCCCGCGAACATTAGGATGAAAATCGCGATCTCGATGGCCAATCAGTCTACAAGTACGACGACGTATGACTAGGAGGATGGCAGGGGCTACGTCGATGACGGTGGTCATGGTCAGAAAGGGGACGGTGACGGGTTAAGGATATAATTTGGGGATTTTAGGTATTTTGGGCTTTTTTATAATTTAAGAGAAATTAAGGTTTTTTAGAAATAAAATAATATTTTTAAAAAATCAAATTACTAGAGTACGAAATGTGTCACTTAACGAGGAATTTAACGTCGTTGATAGCCTGAACATCTAAATAGGTAACGTTTGTAACGTTTGCTACCTATCAAAAAAATACTTTAAGCACAAACGGTTTGTTTATTTGTGTTTATTGGCTTCCGACTGGAGATATGTGGAAACCCTGGGTGATTATTTAGCAAAGAGAAATGCTATGGGAATTTGTAAGTTGTAATATATGTGATTCTGCATCTATTCAGTAATCTTCTTAAGATTTAGATGAGATAATGATAATGATATAATAAATTTGTTTTGGCCATAACTTTGGACCTCCTTTCATCTTCTGGTGCTTTTGAAAATGGCAGATGATGTTGACACTCGTGCAATCACCCGGAGGCTGAGGCAAGATGGAAGTCTTATTGGGGGTTTTGAGCACGGAACTATCCAAAAGTGACGAAGAACTTTTGGAAACGTCACGATCGTGGGACATTGTAGGTATGATCGAGAATACTTGTATCCTACTTGAAAGCCATAATCAATTTTATAAGGATGACATCATTTATATTATGTTATTTTTATTTTATAGGTATTGGTTTAATTAGTGGAGTTACCTGTAATACCCCTTACGAGTGGGTTGATGAAACAAAATCAGAATGGGACTTCAACTCCGATGGAAGAGATCGAGAGACTTATAGAGTTGGTAATATTTTTTAGTCAATGTTGAAGATCTTAGATCCTTGTTTTGTGTCTGCTCTTTCACTTCTCAATTTCTCTTCAAATTGAAGGTTGTTGTAACATCCCAAAAGTCGGGTCAATGACTAAAATAGAATTTTTGGTAATTTAGTGACCAATCTTAGAAAAGATTAAAAGTTTAGGGATTTAAATGAAAAGTATTGATGTTGGATTTAAATAACAAAGTTTGAAGTAACAAGGGT